GGGGGGGATGAGCACCGCCGTCACCTCGTGCTTGTGGGTCTGGTTGAACCGTGTTTCTCCTGACGCCCCTCGCTGTTCCCACCGAGGAGAAGAGGAGCATTTATCGTGTTTGAGAGCTGCTGGGTGAGATTTGCCTGAGGAAGCAGCCCGGGCATCTCCTCCCTGCGGGGGCCGGTGAAACGCGTGCTCTCCTGCAGGTGGGGGAGGGCTGGGGCGGGCTGAGGGGGTGCAGGTGCTTTCCCGCCTCACACCCCGTTTCCCCAGGGACGCGGGGGCTGCCATGCCGCACGTCGAAGGCTGCTGCTGGAACCCTGATGTTTTACGTGCGGTTTCTGGCAGCCAGGAGCAGCCCCGCAGCAGGCAGCTGAGGGGTGCTAGCAGGCATGGGAAGCTGCGGGCGGAGGCTGGTGCTTTAATAGTACAGTAATTATTAAAATGCAGTTACCCTATTGCAATGGAGAGGTCTGTGCCAGGGCAGACAGCAGCCCGCTAGCAACCGCAGCAGAGAGCCTAATGCAAGTTCATCTAAGTGGCGTGGACTGACAAACCCTTCCTGTTCCTTTCTGGCCACTATTCTGCAAGGAAATTAATAGGTTTGCTTATCAGGAGGAGACTGAAGGCATTTACAAAATAGGTAAATATCTCTATTATATTTAAAAATTGCCTGTGGACACTTGAGAGACTTTTAAGGAATAAAAGTAACTCTTTCAGTATGTTATGTTTCTTGCATTTCAAAAGTTGTTTTGTTGTTGCCATACTTTTATTTGCAGCTGTCGATTGCATTTAAACCCTTCTGACCACTGCTTTTGCAGGTGGAGCGGAGGCCACGTTGCGCTGGCCAACTGCTCCCTGAGCAGGACGAGAAGCCCAAAGCCTGCAGCAGAAGCCCAGAGGCTCCTGCCCTCCGCTGCCCTTCAGCAGGTGGGGATTTACCGGGAGAAAGGACGCGAGACCAAAATTCTTCTCTTTCTCTTTTCTGCTTGTTGGGAGCACTTCATCTGCCATGCCGGTGGGAGTATTGCTCCTGCGGAATCAACGAGAACAAGCGTACGCTCAGTATTGTGACTTGAGGGAGGGAAAATTGCTGTGACAGTCCAGGAAAAGAAGAAAGGCTCTGGCTCCAGCTTTGCAGCTCCGACTCTGACATAAACTATCCTGTCAGCCGCTCCTGTTTCATCCAAGTGGGTTCATCATCTGGGCTTCAACAGCAACAGCACTAATTGCTGGACTCATAAACAGATTTTTGTACTTATTTTAGATAAACGCTCTTCATATTGCCTTTAAGTCTTGTTGCATGCAGAGGAAAAACATTCTGGGAAAATGAAGAACGGGGAGGGGCTTTCCTAGCCCTCTTTTTGGGGTGCTGAGGGCAGCGGGGCATGCCGGGGAAGGGCTTCTGCGTTTGGGGACCATGGGGAGGTCTGGCTGCTGGAAGCAAGCAGGGAGGAGGGTGGTGCATCAGCTGGCTGGGTGGCCTTCGGTGAGGGACCAGCGGTCTCTTAGGCAATTTTAATCACGGAGCCCGCTGAGAGCAGGGCTGGTAGAAGCATTCAGGGAGCCAGCATGTATGAAGATAACGCGGCTGTATGAAGTTTAACCATCCTTAGGACACCAGCACAATGCCTCCGAGCTCGTTGTCAGCAAGGCTAAAAATGGCATGATTGCACAATGTGGACCAATACCTCCAATTCGCCCTCTTTTTCTCTCCCGTTTGCTTTCTGAGTCATCTGTTCCTGCAGGCTTTGCAGATATAAAAAGTCTCAGATGTTGATTAGGCAAAGTACCGCACGGGGAGAGGCGCAATGCCTCTGGAAGCTCAGCTCAAAGCACGATGTTAGCCAGTGTTGGAACAAATGTGAAGTCCCCTGGGAGCGCCTGATTGCCTTTTTGCTCTGCAGAGCTGGTGTTTTACCCCAGCCGGCTCGCTTGGCCATGGGCTCCCTGGGGCAGGCCGGGCTCGTGGCGGCCACGGGCTGCGCTGTTGATGTGTTCCCCCCGGAGGGAGTAACCCCAAACTGAACTTATCACCCGATGGGGAGAATGTTGGCTCCAACCCCACATATTTTGAGAAGCTGAGGGTTGGCATGATGTGTCATTTTTTGGTTTGGGGTGGGTTTTTTTTTTTTCCTTCTACCATGTGGTGCTGGGGTGAAAAAGCTGGAAATGAAACAAACCAAGAGGATTCCCAAACTCCTTTCCAAACAACTGCGGCCTGCAAAGGAGGCAGAAATCCCTCTGGAGCTGGAAAGGGGCTGTAGGAAGCACAGTGGAGTGCACTGAGCTGCCGGCAATGCCCCAGCTCTGTGTTGTTGGGTGCAGTTGTTAAAATTCTGAAATGAAGAAAAGCCCCCCCCCATTCCCTCTCTCCCCATCACATCTTGTTTTTAACTGCTACAGACATCCCTGCAGAGGTGCATCATTTTCCAGATCTGCAGAAATATTTGCTTCGGTTTTACACTAAAACTACCTGACAGGAGGGTGCAGTGAGAGGGGGTGTTGGTCTCTTCTCCCAAGGAACAAGCAATGAGAGGACATGGGCTCAAGCTGCGCCAGGGGAGGTTTAGGTCGGATATTAGGAAAAATTTCTTCATGGAAAGAGAGGTCAAGCATTGGAACAGGCT